AGGAGTGACAGGCAGATCCCTTCGCTGGCTCATCAGCTACCTCAGTGAGCGGACACAGCGAGTTTGTTTCAGGGCCAGCAGCAGCACAATCACCTCTTGCAGCTGCGGTGTGCCCCAGGGATCGGTGCTCGGCCCGCTGCTTTTTAACGTGTACACAAGAGATGTTCCTCAGGTAGCCCAATCCGCAGCCACGATCCAGTTCGCCGATGACGTCGCAGTATATTGTAGCGCTGACACGACTCAGGCTGTTGCCAGTACGCTCTCCACCGCAGTCTCCTCCTTGGCTACATGGCTGGAAGAGTGAGGACTGATTCTGAATGAGAAGAAGCCTGAGTCAAGTTCTCACAGTCTTTCCTGGTAGAGACGCTGGACCCCGGGTCACAGTCCTCTGTCGAAGCCAAGCTCTGCCGACAGTCACCAGCGCGAAGTACCTTGGTGTTACGAATTTGTAGTACGACTATGATTTACGCATGTCGTTGTATTTGGTTCTTGTCTTGTGGAGTCCAGTGTCTGATGTCATATATGGTCTAGGTGTACGCGCGAGTATGGTGTGATGTGTGACGTTTATGGTATGTGGTGCATGCAAGAGTACGCGTTGTCAGAGTGTGAGGATGTGCTTCCGTCTGTGTGAGAGTGACTGTCAAGTGAATGCTGTACATGCGCAGTGCTAGTTTGGTCTGGGAATGAGAGTCGTGTGTGATTCGTCCGTGGTCTGGTTGTCTTGGTCTTGGTCATGTGTTCTGTACGTATTAGTCCCTGATTGGTCGTCACGATTTGTCCTCGGTTTATTACTGCTTGTTCTTTGTTGGTCCTCGGAGTCTTTTCCCGGGAGTCTCTCCCGTCGTCGTTTTCTGTCTAGTCTTTTCGTCTCTCTCTCCTCCTGCGCCCTCGTCATTTCTTGGTATAATATAAGAGTATTGAAGATACAATCAAGAGTTTGCGTTGTTGTGTGGCGAGGGCCTGGGGGAGAACCAATTTCCGTTACAGTGGCGCCCAACGTGGAGACTGGCTCGAACCTGATTCTACTTCTCCACAAGTAGTTTATGCTCGCCGTGGTCCTTTCGTTTCTCCTTTCAGTTTTGTCGACGTGTGGCGACTTTATTATTTTTATTTCGGCAAGCGGAACTGGTCGTTCATCAGGCTGGTTCAACCTCGCGCTGCACTACAAGCAAGCCTCTTTCCCGGTGAGTCGCTCCCGGAACGGGATGTCGTTGTTGTCGTACTAGTCTAATTGTTGCATGTGAAAGCCTTCGGAGATGATGTGTCCAGTATAATGTATTACTTCCCAGAAGGGCTCAGGTCCCGAATGTTTCCACGTCGTTCTGTTTATAATATTTTCACAATCTCGGTAGTCGATCTTTTACCTTGTGTGGGCGATTCTGTTTGTGTCGAGCGTCGTAGTACTCCACCCGCCATGGGTTATGCTTTCAGTGAACGTGGTTTTTTCGAGTCAGTGAGCGTATATTTGCGGTGTTTTGTACTGGCCAATTTTCTTGGTTACGAGGATACACTTGGTTCATAGCTGTCAATCCCAGTTATGGCTTTCGCTGTAGTTTATTCACTTGCCTGCCTATTTTGTTGTCGTCAGCATTACTGCACGGATACACCCAGGGCCCGGGTGCTTTCCCCGTCGTTCTGTTTGTCGGGGCAATGTAGTATTTTCACAATCTGCGTCGTGGGTTTTGTTTTTGGTGCTTGTTATCTTTTCGCGATCCGGTTCTTGTGTCTCTCTTGTGTCTTTCTGTTTTGGGTTTTGGCAGTCAGTGTACGTATATTTGCTGGGGTTTGTGCAGTTTCTTGATTAGCCTTTCAGTGGAGTTGTGTAACTGTTTGGTTTCCTGTGATGGTTTGTAGGATTCTCGTTTCGGATCCAGGATTTTTTGTGAGCGTATGGTTTCGTAATTATTGTGTTTCGGCATATGGGTTTCTCTAGTTCGTTTGGGTGGGCGTCTGATCATGGTGAGCCACGGTCTGCCTGGTGGTCTGCAGGGATCCTGTGTTTTGTTGTATCGGTTTGCCTTGCGGGTGTTATGGTTTCCGTGTGTTGCTGGTTGGCCCTTGCGCGCCCCAGTCGGTCCCTGACAGTTTTTTTTCTCGTTTTTTTGCGAAGCGGATGTAGTTCCGTGTTTTTCAGGTTCAATCCCTGTGGTTTTTTCAGGTTCAATCCCTGTGGTTTTTTCAGGTTCAATCCCTGTGTTTTTTTCTCTATAATATTATTTGCGTAATGGCGGCCATAGTAATTTGTTTCGTCTATACTGTCCTCACTGTTGGTTTAACCCTACATGCCTGCTGTTCCTATGTTTACCATGTACTGATCGAATGCTCTTGTACCTGTGTTTCTTTTTTTGCCCTGCTTGGCGCACCATACCTGGAACAACAACGGACTGGCCAAGCCGTACAAGCTTGCCATACGGTCGTTCGTCAGGCTCACAACTACCCGACAACCAAGGGACCTACTGTTTCTTTTCTCTGATGTTTGTCATTTGTTCTGCCTGTTCTTTATTTTCCCTGAGTTGAGAGTCGAGGTCGACTCTCGCCGGAGGGGAAGGCTATGTTACGAATTTGTAGTACGACTATGATTTACGCATGTCGTTGTATTTGGTTCTTGTCTTGTGGAGTCCAGTGTCTGATGTCATATATGGTCTAGGTGTACGCGCGAGTATGGTGTGATGTGTGACGTTTATGGTATGTGGTGCATGCAAGAGTACGCGTTGTCAGAGTGTGAGGATGTGCTTCCGTCTGTGTGAGAGTGACTGTCAAGTGAATGCTGTACATGCGCAGTGCTAGTTTGGTCTGGGAATGAGAGTCGTGTGTGATTCGTCCGTGGTCTGGTTGTCTTGGTCTTGGTCATGTGTTCTGTACGTATTAGTCCCTGATTGGTCGTCACGATTTGTCCTCGGTTTATTACTGCTTGTTCTTTGTTGGTCCTCGGAGTCTTTTCCCGGGAGTCTCTCCCGTCGTCGTTTTCTGTCTAGTCTTTTCGTCTCTCTCTCCTCCTGCGCCCTCGTCATTTCTTGGTATAATATAAGAGTATTGAAGATACAATCAAGAGTTTGCGTTGTTGTGTGGCGAGGGCCTGGGGGAGAACCAATTTCCGTTACATTGGCGTCATCATTGACGAGGGGCTGAACTTTCAGCAACACCTGGAAGCCATTACAGCAAAGGTGTCCCGCAAAGTAGGTGCCCTCTGGCGGACTCGGAGATGCTTGAGCCTGGCGGCCCGAGTCACCTACTTGAAGTCCGTGGTGATGCCGGATCTGACCTACGCATCAAGTTGTTTCGTGTTCTGTCTAACTGCCCAGCAAGCAACGGATCTCCAGACGCTGGAGAACAAAGCGGTTCGCGCAGTTTTTGGCGCTCGGCCATACGACTCTGCTCCAACGGGTGGAACTCTACCGAATCTCAGAGCTGCACAAGCAAAAGGCGCTATTGCTCACCTGGCGATGCATCCACGGCATTGCGGGGAACCGGCTCTGTGGACTGATTTCAAGGTCACCAGATCGGCACCCGCTTGCAGAAGGACATCGGAGCGCACGTACCACCCGCCGCAAGCCACGCTGGTCAGGCTAGGTTCTCTGTTGCCGCTCCCAAGCTGTGGAACGCACTACCCAGCGACATCCGCACCATCCCCCAACGCAGTGTGTTCAAGATGTCAGTCATCCCACATACGCTCGCTCCATGAAACGTATCACCCATTATTCCAGTCACTGTTGCTGTCGCATCCACTCGTATGTCGCATCCACTCGTAGTCCACGTCCACTGATGTCGACCGAGGTAGCTCTCTTGCTACTGTGTAATAGTGACATGTACCCAGCTAATGTCTCTGCTTCGTTCAGGGAATTCAGAATAGGAAGTCTGCTGTACCACCCGCTCTTTTCTTTTTACTTTTAAAAGCGATTATTTGTAACATGGAAATTTGTTCCTTGGCTCACCATCTGAGTTCTTAAAGCTATTATTCATTTTCTGCTGCCCCCGGTTATTTCTTTTATTAGTATTATTATTTTCTTTGCCTTCGCTTTCTTGTTATTGGGCAACTTGCCCGTTAGAATCTGCGAAGTAAAATAAACAACAACAACAAAGCCAAACTCCTACAGTACTCGTACTCGTACTCCTCATGCATGACCTTGTGATGGACTAGTTGACTACAAAACAAATATCGTACAAATATCGTACTGGTCTCGTCATCTTCCAGTTACAATCGACATTCTTTGTTCCGTTGGGACTGTAGCTTTTGCTCGTTTTCGTTGCGCTTGCCTTCCCCTCTTTGGTCTTTTCATAACCTTGAACCTTCCAAGTTGGAAGGCTGTCGGTTAGCGCTACGGAGATGTGTTGAAGCTAGGTGTCAGGACGTCGAATGTCTCAGTACTCTGTCAGTTTTGTGCCTAGTTATTGCACTTTCTGACTGTATAATAGTATCCCGTTACAGTGATGGAGAGTTACTCTTAACTCGTATCCATATATCCCTTTCTTTTCTACATTTATTTATGGCTCAACATCCGAGTTTCAAATTGTATTATTATTATTATTATTATTAGCACACGCTATGGTTTCAGTGCTTATTTACGTAGGCGCTGACTGGTGGAATGCACTGCCACCTGCTTACCGCCTTTCACCTGCTGAATTTCGATCATCCATCAAGACGTTCTTAGGGTTCCCTGTAAGAAGGCGATGCCGCCTGTTGGGAATTCCCTAGTACTACAATGTACTATAAAAATAAGATGATCTACTCGTAGGTCTACTCGTACTGCCAGTGCCACTCATGTCATGAACTCAAGGCAGTAAAGCGGCCTCATGTCCTAGCGCCTTATCGTCTTTCGCCTTGCAGTTCTGACGGGTCACATCGGGCGCGGTCTTGAGTTTTGTCGCTAGCGCTAGCGGGCGGCGCAGCGGTTGAGACACATGCGCAATAAACAAGGAAATGGCGTTGGTGCAAAGCCCGCTTTGCAAAAAAATTGCGAATATCGAACTCGCGATCGATATCGAGCTGAAACTTGCTCCTATGATTTTTTGACTTGTTTTCTGTTGTGAAGTAACTGGCTGGTGGCTTGAAAACAACAAACAACAGCCATCATGACTGAAACTCAGCCCCACTCGAAGACCTTTCAGGATAGGGAGAAGCCTTCAGCTATCCGTGCCAGCAATGTATCGGCGGCGAAATGTAATGTTCGGACCCTTGCTTCGCGGTGCGCTTTCAATGCGTTTGAGTGAAATACAATTTTCTGCTGTTTTGTAAAAAAATGCAGCTGTTGCTGATGCTGTCCGCACCAGTCTTGGCCCGAGAGGCATGGACAAGATGGTAGGGATGATTTGTTGAGTTTAGATGCCTTTGTAGAGGCTGTGCAGAAATGTTCTGCTCGCTGATTGTTGGTTAAACAGATTCAGGCTGGCAATGGAGAAGTAACTGTAACGAATGATGGTGCCACCATTCTCAAGCAAATGAAGGTTCTGCATCCCGCTGCTTCCATGGTGAGCTGTGTAATGTAGTGTCGGTATTGTGGATGAAACGTGTGCTCTTAGGTAGCATACTCGCGAGCGCTCTTTCACCAGTAATGAAATTCAATTCAATCATTGCTTGAATTGTTTGAAATACACATACAATTATTCATGAAGTTTTGAAAAGAATTCGCCACCCATTCTACATGTAGCTAGATTGGAGATAAAGCACTTTTTCCTTCTTTATTTTTAGTCCGTTGTTTACTATTTTTATTGTGCAATAGGATTGATGGCGAGGCGTAGGAGCATGTCAGGGTGATTTTAATTTTACTGCCCCATAGAGATTCTAAATTGATGCACGGATGCAGATTTTGAGCTTCCGTTCATGCATTCGTTCATTGTGCTGGTTTGAATAAGGCAAACTGCTTGGTGGGATGAATGCAAAGTTTCATGGGAGTTCATTATCGCTACCGACAAGAACATCCACAGACAGAAGAACGAGCAGTTGTTTTTTTCTTCGTAACTCTGAGTTTCACGAACTGAATTGATCATCAGACGAAAATAAACATGAGTCTGCACTTTCCATACTGGTCAGGCTTGTAGCGGAATTTTTTGTTGATGTCATGTCTCCCAGCGACCTTGAGTCATCACATACAACTTCATAATGGATTTGCAGTTTCGCATATTATACCTGGTAAACTAACAAGCAAGGCCTGCAAAACCAAAGTCTGAATTACCGTACTCACTTGATTAGAAGCCCCTCTCGAATAAAAATCCCTCTTGAATAATAGCCCCCCTACAAGGACTGTTTGAAAAAATACAAGCCCTTCTCGAATAGAAGCCCGGACTACTATTCGCAAAGTATGGGGTGACCAGGTAGTGCCATGTATGAAGGTCAAGTGTGCAAAAAATCCCTCTTGAATAATAGCCCCCCTACAAGGACTGTTTGAAAAAATACAAGCCCTTCTCGAATAGAAGCCCGGACTACTATTCGCAAAGTATGGGGTGACCAGGTAGTGCCATGTATGAAGGTCAAGTGTGCAAAAAAAGCACCCCGTGCATGTTCATATTGGTATATGTGTTTTGACGTATACGTTAAAGTCGCTTCACATGTAGAAATTTGACAGGGGGCGGATCGACGGTACTTCACGATACGTGCTCTCTTTCTACCTTACATTTCTGAAGTTTGGCTTCTCGAACCAACACCAAAGTACGATAATTAAGTATTCATATGAGTTGCTCGGTGCTCGCCTTTCACATTCCAGTGTCATAGAAGCCTGTTTGATCACACCTTGACCTTTGCTGTTAAAGCAGGTGAAAGCCGTGAGTGTTTGTCTTCCCCGTATGTTCACGCATGTACGACTCCGAAGTGAGCTTGTCTCCCGTATTGTTTGATGCAGCTGGTGGAGCTCTCCAAAGCTCAGGATGTCGAGGCCGGTGATGGAACAACTACAGTTGTAGTGCTTGCCGGCAGCCTCCTTGGAGCTTGCCAGAAGCTCTTGGACAAAGGTAATAGTGATGTCTTTCAGTAGTGTGAACTCGTTTGGAGCATAGCTGTGCTATTGTAAGACTTGCATTCGCCCCCATTGTTTCCTGGTAGTGGCTTCTTTTCTAAGTGCGGGATTGCCTACAAATGTAGGTGGGAATAGAACGATCAGTGGTCTGGTGTATTGAGGCAGGAGCAATTCCAGCGGCGCTTTGTCAGTTTGGTAGTGACTATTTTGTGTATTGTTGAAACTCGCCAAATGATGTCGGTTGCAACTTTTTATGTTGGTTTCCATCTTTAGGCATTCACCCCACCACGATCTCCGACAGCTTCCAGCGTGCCGCTGTCAAGGCCGTTGAGATCCTTACTACCATGGCTGTTCCACTGGAGCTGAGCGATCGCGAGTCTATGCTGAAGAGTGCCACTACATCTCTCAACTCCAAGGTATCCTGGGCTTTCCTTTGGCTGCATGCCACTACTGGGGTTGGAAGGAATGCTCGTTGTGTTGTGGACCAGAAAGCTAGTTAGCTTCATTGAGTTCAAACTTTACTCCTAACTACTGCTTGAAACTTGCTTGAAATATTCAGGTGTGAGAATAAGTGAAGTGTTCCTCCTTGCATGGCGTTTTGTAGCGTTTTGGTAGTAGTAATAGAGAGGTTCCGCATAACGTAATTACGTTAGCAAAAAACGTAGTCGATCTACGGAAAGTCTTACGGAAACTGCATGCGCATCTGGGTTCCGCCATACGGACTTTTCAAATCACGTGGCTGCCCTTGGCAACTCCGAACGCGGCAGTGTACGACCAGATCGACCTGGGTAGAGAGTCATAAATGTGTACCCCAATCCACTTACGGACCAGCTACGTTATCAGAGCCCTATCTACGTACTTTCCGTAGTGAACTTTCAAATCACGTGGCTGCCCTTGGCAACTCCGAACGCGGCAGTGTACGACCAGATCGACCTGGGTAGAGAGTCATAAATTTGTACCCCAATCCACTTACGGACCAGCTACGTTATCAGAGCCCTATCTACGTACTTTCCGTAGTGAACTTTCCGTAAATGGAGTGCAAACTCGCGAATTCACGGGTTTTTCCCGCCCACTAATGTAAAGTTGCTGCTCAACTTTACGTAGTGCGGAACCTCTCTATTGCTGTAGCATTTGCAGTGAGTTGTGCTGCTGGAGTTTTGTGGCGTTTGTGTACTTGTTCAACCTTCAAAAACATTACAAATGGAAAGCGTTGGTTTGTGTGGTGGTAATAAATCATGCCATTGTTTTTCTATTTTGTGCGGTATGCTCTAGGTCGTTTCTCAGAATTCCCATGTGCTTGCCCCGATGGCAGTGGATGCAGTGATGCGTGTTATTGATCCAGCTACCGCCACTAACGTCGACCTGCGAGACATCAAGCTCATTCAGAAGATCGGGTGAGCAACCGCTGCAGTGCCTGATGCAGGGTTTGGATGTGCATAGGAATAGGTTGTTCATACATGTATGGTGTAGCTGTCTTTGTTGTGTCATGCGTGCACTATGCACTGACTCACATGCCCTGTTCTTACATTGACCCATCTCTCTCTCTCTCTCTCTCTCTCTCTCTCTCTCTCTCCCTCTCCCTCTCTCCTTGTGTTCCTGTATTGTGCCTCCTGCAGTGGTACATTAGAAGACACTGAGCTGATTGATGGCCTTGTCTTCACGCAAGGTCTGGCACACAGGTCTAGCGCCAACACTCGCCAGGAGAAGGCCAAAATCGGTCTGATCCAGTTCCAGATCTCGCCGCCCAAGACACAGGTGAGTCCGAGGGCTTTGGGCGTGAACGTGTCTTCTTCTGCTATGGATTGGAAGACCTCTAGCTGTGTTTTCACTGTTTTGTGGAATCCGTCCGAAACTGCATAATATTATATTGCTCGTATGAATGCTGCTTGGCCCTTGCAAACTCTCAGGCCGTGCTGTATTCAGAACGAGTGATGTGGTGGGAATTGGCTAGGTGCTGTGGCAACATTGCACATTGGATCGGATTTAACGTTACAGTGACTGTAGCAGGAGTACCTGGACAAGGTATGACTATCTGACCAGGGGGAGTTATGTGAACGGGTTTAGCTTGGTTGCTGTTGAGAAGTGGGTACAGGCTTGTACTATTGTACAGCTCAATGAAATCGAGTGAGTCAACATTGCACCCTGCACCAGTCACCATCCCAGTGTTTGCATGTCTAGGGCTGCACGGCGTGCTTGACTCGCACGGTCGGATCTCATTGAGCAGCACTATGGGGGCTGTGCAACTGTCCGTTATCTGTAAATGGTGATTTGCTGACCGCCGCCGCGAAAGAACAGGGTGGTGTGATGCTGAGTGTCTGCCGTGGGCCCCATGCATGTCTTATTGTGGGGATCCGCGTAGGAAGTGTAGTCAACACGAAATCTCATGTTGTGATGTTTGTGTAGTTTTTCTTGAGCCGTGTTTCTGCGAAATCTATTCCCTTAGCCCATTTTAACTTCCCTTTCATCCCATCCACCCTTCCAGGAAACTCCTGATTGTTATCATTTACGTCTGGAGAATCCTTCTTATAAAGTATGCATGTATGAATGAGTTTGTCTTCTGTGTCCCTTGTGTTCTCCGTGCAGATGGACAACAACGTGATTGTGTCCGACTACACACAGATGGACCGTGTGCTGCGCGAGGAGAAAGAGTACATCCTGAACATCTGCAAGCAGATCAAGAAGGCTGGCTGCAATGTCCTGCTCATCCAGAAGTCTATCCTCCGGTATGTGATATTCACCCGCCCAGCCACCCAAACTGTCCTCTGCTTGTTGATTCCACCGGGTACTCCCTCCCCACAGCAGATCCAGCGAGCAGTGCCTTGTTGAACTCCATGTGGATTCTTTTTATTTATTTTCCAGGCTCAACCAGTTTTATTTTCCATGGTACAACAATGAGAAAAGCAAAGACAATTGCACAACTATTAAACTCGAAAAACAAGCACCGTGCCCAGTGCTTATAATGCCAGGGCGTGTATTGCTTTTTGTTTCTACATAGAAGGACCGCGACCTGTGTTACTTTGTACCTGTCCCGGGTTTAGGCCAATTCAATGTGCGTGTGTGTGTGTGTTCGTGCCTGCGTGTGTGCATGCTGCATGCCGGCTTGTGTTTTCTTTTCTTCGTCTGCGCTGACAGTGATGCTATCAACGACCTTGCTCTTCACTTCCTCTCCAAGCTGAAGATTATGGTTGTTACCAATGTAGAGAGAGAAGACATTGGCTTCATCTCCAAGGTGAGAGACAGAGAAAGCCTCGTTGTCAGAGTGTTTGTGATTCGTCCTTTCCCAGTGGGACCTAGAGTCCTTGACTTGACTTTTCTGCTCGTTGCAGAGTGCCCGCCGTGCATGTGTATACTGTTACCTAGGACTGTCTCCATATGAGTTTTACGGGCCTTGTTAGCTTGGCATTCTTGACTCAGTTAATGAATGTTTAATTTTAGTTATTATAAGCGGTGCATGCTGTACTACAATAGAGTTTCGTAGTGCTGGGATGATCCGCCGTGTATCTTATCTAGCTGTATCCTCTATCTATCTCTATCTCTCTCATACACTATCTCACACACACACTCTCTCTATCTATCTATCTCACACTCACACACACTCACTCACTCAATCACTTTATCCTTTTCCCGTGTCGTTTAGACCATTGGCTGTCGCCCAGTTGCCAGTCTAGACCACTTCACAGCAGAGACGCTGGGTCATGCTGATCTCGTAGAGGAAGTGGCTGCTGGAGATGGCCGTATTCTCAAGGTATGAAGGTGCCTGTCTTTGCAATTGCTTTGCTTTTGTTGTTGGTGTTGATGTTACTGGTATGTTTGCAAGTGATGGGCATAGATGCTGTGTTTGCGACACCTGTCAATGCATGTATGCCGGTAGCCTGTATAATTATTTGTGAGGATTTGTCACACTCTGCCGACACTTCACTGTCATTCCCCTATTGACTACCAGGAGCAAAGCGAGTCCCGGTGGTGACAGTCATTTTTTTCTTCAGACTTTTCCCGTTTGCATCATTCCCTCAAACCAACGAGCAGAGGCCGGAGCGTGTTCTAATTTTTTCACATTTTCTGTTGCGTCCAGGTCACTGGTACCGGTGGCATGGCCAAGACGGTAACACTTCTTGTGCGCGGCTCAAACAAAATGGTCGTCGGCGAGGCTGACCGATCGCTCCACGACGCCCTCTGCGTCATCCGCTGCCTTGTCAAGAAGAGGTAGGAGGAAGCTAACAGTCAGCTGACTGATCTTTCTATGTTTTGTGTACAGCGTATTGTGCCAGGAATTGCGATCGATTGACGAGTAATCGGTATACTTGATTCTACGCTGACTCTGTGTTCTGCAAAATTGGGTCAATATACGTTATATCTGCTGTGACAGTACATGTACTGATAATGACTTTCTGCTGGGTCCCGTTATTCTGTGGAGCACGTGCACTTGGCAGATTGTACAACGCATGCGGGGAAATCCATCTCCACGTGTGCTGCCATCTGTCATCTACTATGATGAATGTGTTGCTGGTGTTGTTTGATTTGATGTACTTCTTGCACTGTATTCATTGTGGTGTTTTCCGGCCTTTTTCTTTTCTAGGGCACTGATTGCTGGCGGCGGTGCGCCGGAAATTGAGATGTCTCTCCGCCTCATGGAGCACGCCAACGAGCTGACCGGAATGGACAGCTATTGCGTGCGTGCTTTTGCCGAGGCGCTCGAGGTCATTCCTCTGACACTGGCTGAGAACGCCGGCCTCAACCCCATTGCGGTCGTCACAGAGCTCAGGAACAAGCATGCCCAGGGAGCGAAAACGGCTGGAATCAACGTGAAGAAGGTAAACCCTTTTTTCTGGGGCTGGGGCTAAAGCATGGTTCACATATCGCCGGTACACACCTGGCCGGGAGTGCCTCTTACGGTCTCTCCTGGCGATATGCTCTGTTTTGAACCAGTGCACTGCGTAGCAGTATCTTATGGTAAATTGCCAGTGGTTGGGGTCGAGAGAGAGTGGGGCGATGTTCTCCTGGGCTGCTCCAGCACCGATCTCATATACTAATGAACAACAGTGGTATGTGAACCGTGCGGCCCGCCGGTGCCGTAGCCCAGATGCGGTCAATGTTTTAAGCGTAGTCATCCCAATTACTTTCTTAAATTGAAGCCAAGTGTTTTGAGTATCACTCTTGGCGCCGCTTATACGCCGAGTACAAGGATGTAGACCTCTGTATTTGGAAGTAGTTTCATGCCCTGCAACAGTAATGGGGTATCGCCGAGTGGCCAACTTTGTAGTAGTTTGGTGCAATGGTACTCAAACCATATTCTCATGATCTCCGCTGGTGACGGGGCTGACCTGGGCCTCCACTGGTGCCTCCTGGGACTGATTTGGCCTATGCGAGCAGTCAGTTCAGTGTGCATTTAGGTAGAGTCTGCCTGGGGTTTGTCAATTTGCTTGCTCATTTTTCTATCGTGTTCCAAGACTGACTTGTCTGCGGTGTCGTGGATGTATTATTGTAAGCAGGGTTTGTGTTGAACTGCTGTATGATACTGCTCTGCCTCTCCATTGTTGTGCGACTGGAAAAATGGTAACACCTGTGTGTGTTTGTTTGTGTGTGTATATGTGCAGGGAAAGATCACTGACATCTTGGAGGAGAATGTCGTCCAGCCTCTCCTGGTCTCCACTAGTGCAATTCAGCTTGCCACAGAGACTGTCCGCAGCATCATGAAAATCGACGACATTGTAAGTCTGGATATCACATCGTCTCCCAGACTTGTCACCATCTTTACACAATGGGTAGCAAAGAGCCAGTCGCAAGTACAAACCCATCCAAACTGAATGGCACACCCATGCATTGACACATGTTATATTGCAGCATGTAGAAGGCCGGAAAAGGAGTGGGCCATGCAGAGAATGCTGGAAAATGAGTGGGCCATGCAGAGAATGCTGGAAAAGGAGTGGGCCATGCAGAGAATGCTGGAAAAGGAGTGGGCCATGCAGAGAATACTGGAAAAGGAGTGGGCCATGCAGAGAATGCTGGAAAAGGAGTGGGCCATGCAGAGAATACTGGAAAAGGAGTGGGCCATGCAGAGAATACTGGAAAAGGAGTGGGCCATGCAGAGAATACTGGAAAAGGAGTGGGCCATGCAGAGAATTCTGGAAAAGGAGTGGGCCATGCAGAGAATGCTGGAAAAGGAGTGGGCCATGCAGAGAATTCTGGAAAAGGAGTGGGCCATGCAGAGAATGCTGGCCATGCCCCATGCTAGTGCTGCTCAATGAAATCCGGTCACTGGAGTCAAGTTTGCTCCCTGCACCATTCCACAGCCCAATGTTCACGTGTCTAGGGTTGCACAGCGCCCGACGTGTGGGAGACTCACTCAATCAGAACTCATTGAGCAGCACTGTACGAGTACTTGTGTGTAACAAATACAAGCTGGGTGGATTGCACCGACCGCCTTGCCAACTGAAGAGAATTCTTGCCTGTGTGTTCCCAGTACGCTTGTGCCTTAGTTTCTTCTCTTGTGGTGAGAATTGTGTGATAACTAGTACTGTGTTGCTGTGTGTGTGTGTGTGTGTACGTGTGTGTGTGGTATGCGTGTGTCCGTTTGTTCTTGTTTCTCTTGCAGGTAACTGTGCAGCGGTAGTACCCCAGACACAGGTGTTGAACTCACGTGAAATCTTGTACAAAAATATTATTTTTTAACTAACCGCTTTTGGTACCTCTCCTCGACTGTCGAGACCGCATGCTGTTTTTCTTTTCATGCATGCCAGACTCATGCCATCAAGACCACCATGCCAAATCATTCAACTGGAAAATGATAGAAACCATCATTCAAAACTACTTTGTCTTGTGTTTGCTGCGCTGTGCCCAGCTCACTCGCATGCAGAACTCGGGTATTGTCTCTGTTGCAAGCTCTGTTGCAAGGAGTGTGAGTCCAGCCTGTACAGCTTGCCAGGAAAGAGCCTGTCTGGCGCAGTGAAACAGCGTGGTGTGTCGAGTATTTTTTTACGGTGCCGTCACGGTGCATCTAGTGTGAACAGAGCATTGCATTACTTGTAGGACGTTGGGAGTTCGTGCCGTTACGTGAATCACTTTCGCACTCGCTTGGACAACCCTGCATGAATCGTCTCCTGTGCAACTAGCACTGTGTACTGTAAACTGGAAAGCGTTTACGTTCTGGAACCATTAGCATGTGAAATCCCACAAATAAGCCGGTGTGAAACTGGACCTGTAGTACAATAACTGATGAAATGACTCAAATCGCAAACATTTCCACGTGCAAATAATAAATTGGCTTGTGCTCGCAAACCGTGAACTAAAACCGGCCTAAACGTTCCGCGGTTTACAGTATCCAGCTCGTGCTGTCGAGAACCCTAAACTAACCAACAAACACACAATCTGAAGACAAATGCACACGTGATCTCGAGTCCTTTCCACACTGGAGTTAGTGGGCTCGGATTCTCATCAACCCCTCCATAGTAATGTTCTTCAATCCACGGAGTAGTACAATACCGGTATTGTACTACTCCCTGCTTCAATCCCATCTGGTTAGCTTTTCCACACTGGAGTTAGTGGGCTCGGATTCTCATCAACCCCTCCATAGTAGTGTTCTTCAATCCACGGAGTAGTACAATACCGGTATTGTACTACTCCCTGCTTCAATCCCATCTGGTTAGCTTTTCCTTGGGGGGGGGGGGGGGGGCTGTATGGTACATGAAGTGTAATAGCAAGAGTACATACCCCCCCCCCCCCCCCCCAGAGTGTGCAACGCCTGATCCAGCTCTGCATAGGGTCTTGGTCGAGCGGAATCGGATCTTTGCATCATAATACCGTACACATCTGAGGGGAACCCGGGTACTCTCGGATCAAAAACAATCGTACCCTGCCTCGAGACCGGCCTTGCGCTGGTGTGGAGTGTACGCATGACATCAGAAGATCCGATTCCGCTCGACCAAGACCCTATGCAGAGCTGGATCGGCGTTGCACACTCTGGGGGGTTATGTACTCTTGGTAATAGGGGTGTGAGCGAGTAGTAGGGTACCCGCAGGTGTGCCAGTTCGAATGTGCATTTTGGGTCGGAGTTCACCTTCAGTAGAGTCACGTGTCTGAGAACGTGGAGCCCAAGAGCGGCGGTGTTGGTTTTCTGGCAGCTTTTGGGATCAATATTAATGATTCTATTTAGGGGCCATCCAGCATTATGGATAATTTTACGAAAAAGTTTAGAAGTACAATCATGTAGTTAGGACCCTCCCGCACCCATCCACCCCCTGAACGAAAAATAGATTGACTTGACAGCTAGAATGCATTGATGTCTCACATATCAATATTTTTCGTGGCTATAAGTAGTGTGCGAGCATGCATACATCCACCCTGCCCCGAGGGCGACTGGAGCGGGCAGTACAGGAACAACACCCATATTGTGTAGCGTTACAGCAAGAGTACAGGGGAGCGGGGGGTATGTACTCTTGGTTACACTGTCCTGTGTCGTTGCCCAAGACTCTACAGTCTACGAGTCCCTTGTGTACAGGCTTGATGCCTCACAGCGGTGTACGTTATGCTGAAGTATTCAAACACAGTAGGCGTCACCAAGAGTACACAACTCTCGGGCGTTACTCAATCTCCGGACGGCTGCTTCCACCCGTGCTACAGTAGAGTCGCGCGCTGAAGAACGTGGAGCCCAAGAACGTCCAGCCTGAAATTCTAAGAACGCCACAGCCTAAAGCTAAGAACGGCGATGTTGGTTTTCTGGCAGCTTGTGGGATACATATGATCCAGTACGGATTGTTTCTAAGAACGTGCTATAAGAACGCAGCCAGATTGCTGAAAATAAGAACGTCCCAGGCTAACCCCTTGGAAACAACGGTCTTGGGCGCGCGACTCTACTGTAGGTCTCATCATATAACCCCCGGGGTTATATACTCTTGGTCTCATCAGTGGAGCTCTGAACTCCCAGGGATTCTGTACATTGTACTCTTGGTTTCTCGGTACTGTGGCAGGTACTGGTCTGTGGTATACATGTAGTATTGGGAATCGTCGTGACCGTCTGACTCGTCCTACAAGGAGCATGGCCAGTTTTGACTCGTTTGAGCCCAGGACATAGTGGCTAAGGCAAGAGCGAGAGAACAAGTGCATGTATGCTGTAGAAATGTGAGCATTTAAAAAGATTTATAATAAAAGCAGAATTTGAAAGAAAAACTTGATCTGCAAGTGTACTAGTAATCAAAAGCCAAGCAGGAAAGCTACTAGACCAGTCAGCAAGGCATCATTCCAAATCAGAGTCATACATGTAGCTGCAATCAAACGTATGCATGTACTGTAAATCAACAAATGTTCGGCCTACAGCGTTACTCATCTCAAAATAATGCTTTTCATCTCCATCAAGCTTTTTTTTGGGGGGGGGGGGGACTTTCCAAGAAGAAAATCAAATGATTGTTGTTCTCACAAGCTTGCACTGCAACGTTTAGATCTGATAACCGATTTTGGCCGGCTGTTTACGTTGGTCAGCTGGTTGTGATCAAGCGCAACAGCAGTCATTCTTTTTCTTGTCAGTGCAATCCAGTCATCGGCCATACTGAAGACATGCACTGTAAAGGAGTAACGCTCAGAACCCTGTGTAGCAATGCTAGTGACACTTCAGGTCCTGTGAGCAGTTGCCATCTCCTGGCATGACGAGACACACACTTACACTCACATACACACGCGCACACACACACACACACACACACACACACACACACACCTGGCCTGGCTTGGCCTGGTGTACAGCTGCCAAATGCTTGGCCACGCCGCCCCCGAGACAGGGGAGAGTAGAAGGGAGAGAGTTCGAGAGAAGTCAGCACTGCCACTAGGAAGCCGCTCCGCCACGACGCCGTTCACGATTGCAATTGTGTTGCCGAAAGCCAGGAGCAGATTTAAAACAGCGATCACAGGTAGCGCAGTGCTGGTTGCAACACGGATGGCTCCCCCCCGGTTACTAAATTGGCTTTACTTGACTGTGTGGATTGTGTCGGTGCTGACACTACTTTCCAAATTGGATGCGCCTCCAATTTTTCCCTTCAATAACAATATGGGGGCACAGGTAAAGGCCACAGCAAGAATGCTTAGCCTAGCAGTTCTCTCGTTCATTGGGTGTATTTTCGGCTTAACATAAAATGGTTTCTATTCTTCAAGGGCACTATGCCCTCCTACACACACACACACACACACCTTGATCTTGCCCATTGCGTACGCAATGATAGCGAATGTCGGGAAGTTCAAGTGAGAACACGAGCGCAGAACTTGGCATGTCGTTTCAGGTCTCCTGGTCGACGAAATGGGCGTCCAAAGACACAGAGAAGGGATCAAGAGCGGGCCGTGGCGGTGGAGTGCTACTCGCAACTCGTTTCCAGCCAGCACACCCACACACACACACCACACACCACACACACACACACACACACACACACACACACACAATCCCCGGACATACTGCGGCTAGCAACACACGCACAGGTTCCAGTATCTCGGGTGCGGGGTAGCTGCCGGGCTGTTACGTGTTCCTGCATGGTGTATCCGATCGGGAGATTACACGCGATTCTTCATTGCTGCTCAGCTTCTGTAGCACCGACAGAGCAGAACAGAACAATATACTGCAAGTCAACAAATATTCGGCGCATATTTATTTTTGGCTATGTTCGGCCTGGTCATGTTTGGCCGAAAATTTGTTGCGGTCGAAATTTTGTTTTGCAAGGTTCAGTGTGACAGTGTATACAGGCGGCAGCAGTACAGGCCGAAATTTTGATGCAGCCGAAATGGGTTTTAGCCCTGGGAGGCCGACATTTGAATGGGCCGAAAACTTGTATGCTTGTCATGCTTGCATTATTTATGTGTAGGCCACATCATGTGTACAAGCACTGGTCATGGATGTATACTTATAGTGCAAGTACGGACTTTCCACAATGCAGTGGCGGATCCAGGATCTCAGAGATGTAGTGCATGGATGATAGGGGTGGCATGTATGAATGAGCCAGTTCATGTGCCTAGTGTAAGTAAAAGTAAATTATCGCGTCCGTTCCCGAAGGGAACTCACGACGGCCGCTAACACCCGGTAAACCCTAGCGGCAGAGGCAGCGCCTAACGGTGGGGGTGAGTGGATAAGTCTCACAACCACTGGCACAAGTGCCGAGAACGACCCCATTAGCTGCATCCATGTACCCCTTGTGCCTGGCCACAAGTTCCCATGTGCCTAGTATTATACTAGTATAATTAGTGAACCGGTAGGCGTATACCGTTTTTTTTGTCCGGGGTCCAAGCCGCTCCCCCCTTTTCGGGCCGAAAATTCGCATTTTTTTGACATTCGGAGTATTAGCCGCATGTCAGATTTTGAATTTTTGGCCGTCCGAACTTGATGGGTACTAGTACATGCAACACGTTCCACAAAAGTTTCTTTATTTGTCCCTCGCACTGAACTGACACCATAAATGTAGAAGCACCGTACAATTGCAATGATGGATTTCTGTGCAGGAAAAGTACTGTACATAAAGAGTAGTCGAATGTCACTATAAATGCATTTTATCATTCTTATGCATGGCACGTCATACAACTGGTTGATTCATGGCCAGCAGTTGGAGTCAAAGCCGCAGTGGCGATTTTTAGTTTATAGGCGTTTCAAAGTGCAGCTAACACACCGGAAAATACGGTGCATGTACTGCCGTTTCTGACATTAGAGAGGTTAAGATGCACCTTATTTCCGACGTGACGCGCAATTTCAGATCAAATTCGGCGTAAAACTCCAAATTTCGACGTGAGCTGCAGGTCACTCGCGTTGTTTTTCGATGCACGAGCCAAATAATGCAAGATGAACTTTCGCGTCACGTCAGAAATAATGTGCATCTTAACCTCTCTATTGTTCCGCCCCACCACATACCTTGCCATTCACTTAGCTTCGTCCACAGATCGCTCAGCATATCACAGTACTGGCTGTGCTCGCGCCAGTACTTCTCAGCCTGGCAATGCTTGGCACACAGGTAGGACATGCCACAACGAGGACATGCTGTGATGTTGTCCAGGTCATAGCAGACAAAACATGCTGCTACACATTGACACCACTCCAGTAGTGCAATGTGGTGATCAATGCTCACTTGGCCTCTCTTGGATTGATGATGCAACGCAATGAGTGCCACAACAAAGAGGTCGCCACTTGATTGGAGAGCGCACACGGCTGTTGATACTGAGAGTCCACGTTGAAATCGCGCTGGAAATCTTTCCTGCCATTCCCGCTGCAGCACCTTGAACCCAGAGTCCACAAGAGGTTCTGGCGTGTTTGAAGCACCTTTAATTGAATAACCGTCAATGAACTGTTAATAGATCACACAAAGGCCAACATGCAGAAGCAAGAATAGAGAAATGCATAAGTCGTCACAGCAAACATGACGCACAATACCAAATAATAGAACTAAAGCTGTGTTCCTAACTGGCACGTGGACGCGGTGCGCTTGCGGTTCATGCGTGCCCAAATGCGCGCTCAAGCTTTCACAAAAAAAAACAGCAATCCGAGTCGTATTTAGCGCGTGCGACACCTTAGAGCACTAATTTTTTGGCATGTACGCTGGTATACCGGTACGCGCCTGATACGCGCTGACAATTCCAACATGTTGGAATTTCCATTTCGGCGCGTTTCCGTACGCATGGCGCCCCAAATGCCAGCAGAAATACGCACAAACGAGTGGTTTCACGCGTACACGCGCCAGTTGTGAACACAGCTTAAGAGTCTAAGACTATAACAAGAACATCATGCTTGGTTTTACTTAGGAAGTACGTTGTACTACAGTGCAATCTCTAAGTTAAGTTATTCTGGAGCACAGCAAGCATGTACATGTCTCTCACTGGACAGTTTTCTGCAAAGCTCCAAATCGCGAGCGCAGCGGAAGAGAGTTCTGCCACCGGTTCATAGCAACAAAACATGCTATGACCACTCAGCGAAAGTATCGATTTTCTTAGTTTCTAAAGGATTGGGAGAACTTCAAACTCTCCGACTGATCTTTTCCAAGTTTCAATAATGAATGAGGGGTCAGAAAACCCAAAGGATAGGATATTAGAAATCTGGCCAGGTTATACAAAATTATGACAAACAAACCATAACAAATTATGTGGAGAAGCAGATCACCCCCCCCCCCTCCCATTTTTTTTATTAAAATATATTTCACTGTTCGCTTGAGACTGACTACGTTAGACAGATTTTCCGCACCACCCTCAAGGATCAAGGTGCGGCCCTGAATCGGTGGGAGGCGAGTCAAAGACGGGAAAATCCCATTCGATACACCCAGTTTCCCTCGCACTAGGCTACGAGCTCCCACTGGACTGTAAGTCACAGCATGGCTGGAAAATGCAGCTGCTTCCAGGCAGGACTTCGACCTGGCACCATCTGTTTCTCAATGATGGTGTCAGACCACCCCACTATGCCCACCGGCTACCCCACCCAAAATTATTGAAATTGATATCCAACCAGAATCGAGCTTTCATCACTGGGGCGATTTTGGATGAATGGACTGTAGTGGCTTACCTCTGCTAGGTCCTGGGAGCACACGTCCACCAACAGCAGACAGGACATCCAGTGTCCCAGATCGTCATCGCCAATGTCCACTGATGGCTTGCCCATCCTGCTCAGTTCCAAGCCGCTCTGGTCGCGTTGAAGAAGCCATGACATGTAGTTGTCTATGCTCTTGTATGGCGATAGAGACGAGGTGAGGTAGACAGCCATAGTTGTGAGTCCTGCTTTCCATTGGAGATAGACGTCTCGGATGAACAGGTTTGAAAACAGTTCACAAGTTTTCCCAAGCTGGCTGAAATGTGCATGATACTGGATACAATAGAGGTGGTACATATGCAGATCGGTGACATCACTCCGCTCAACGAACGAGTCATACAAACTTGCAGAAAAATGGTGCATTGTACGGAAGTGCATTCCAATTGCACTCAGTAGTGCTGGCGACACTGACAGGGAAGAATCTTCCTCGGACGTAGCCCTGATGAGAATGGCCCTCGTAGCGACGAAGAATATCTCTATCAGTCCACTGTACTCTGTGCACTCATACCTTTGCGCTGAGGAAGATATTAGACCAATCTGCTTTGCAATGCATTCCAGTTCCTGCATATTCGGAGCCTTGTCAAGAGCAACACTGTTGACCAATTGCATCGTGAGCCGAGCAGCAGTTGTCTCAATAGCTGGAGAAGAAGAAGAATCCATCATCTTAGAAGCATAGACATATGCACCATGAGCTGCCCTTTCAAAACCGTGAGCTGCTTCACCTGTGTTTTCCACCAGGATGCGATGGAGAGACACTGCCACATTACAGAGGTGATATTCCAGCATGCTTATAGATGATAGATCCTTCTCGCACGTATCAACCAGATGCTGTGCAGCTGCCATGGCACTGTTGATATTCAGTTGATGTGCTTCACTCCCAACTACAGGCAGGAAAGCAATGTAATTGAACAGTACACCGAGCTGAGTTGGCGGTGGGAGTGTTTCAAATGATGTAGCCGTCAGACACATAGCCAACACAGAGGAGACACCTTTTCGCCGGAGAAAAAAAATGGCGAGTGGGGACGAGAGAAGGTTAGCATACTGCTTCACTACCTCTTCTGCTGCAATACCACCGGTGGCAACATTTTCCAAAGCATAGTCAATGTTGGGGGTATCAAATAGATAATCAAATAGAAATCGTCCTGGGTCAGTCTCCTCGTCTTTGGCTGCCTCCGCACACACGGCATGCTGCAAACAATCCATATTTACGTAGCAAAATCTTTGGATATGAATTTGATTCTCATCCGCAGTGCTCATCTTCCTGCCGAACTCTGCAATGAACGGCTGCATCGAGTAGCGCTCTGTTTCGGGACAATACTCAAGAAAGCAAATTCTGATCAGCGGATCAAACCAGTAGTGATGAACGGCTGTCTTGTCACTTCTGCAAAACTTTATCATGGCGCCGGCTGCATCTGGTGAGAATGTGGCTCGGAAATGTGAGAGAGCATGAAAAGACTCTCGATCCTCTTTGCTCAGGTCATCGTGTGCTACTTTCAGAAGGCGTATGATGCGTTCGCTAGGCTTCAATTTCTCATCATCGAACACATCCCGACCAATCTTGATCAAAAGCTTCAGCATCATCTTTGCATTTCGGCGACCACCGTGCATTGCACTGGCTGTGATTCGAATTGCTAAAGGGACGTAACCGCAGTGGCGAACCAATTCAGCCGCTTCCTGCGCCGTTCGGCTCCTCGGTAATGTCAGACTCATAAGCAGATCTTGAGCTGATTTCACCTCCAGGCAGCCGATACTATACTGTTCAAGCTTGAACGTGGCTGCATGAAGCTCCAGGTGGACCCTGCTTGTCAGTAGAACACTGACAGTCCTGCTGCAGGTGATAATCTGATTCACGACATCCTGCAGTTGAAACTCCTGCTCCGTGGCACCCTTGATGCAGTCCTCCGCATTGTCCAGAACCACCAGCGTTCTCACATCCTCCTGTTTCGACTGTGAGGCACCTGGCACTGCACCAGAACTTCCCTTGCCAATCTTGCAAGTGCCACCCAGGGCCCTGTCAACCAACGCCTGCACCACTGATGGAGATGTGACACCGCGTAAGTCTACAAACATCACCTGCATGCCCTTGTCCTGACACCCGCTGGCAACAGCAATGGCCACTGATGTCTTGCCAAACCCAGGTGGTCCAACAAGGTTGTGGACCTGTACAGATTCTGGTGTGCCAGCCGGTGCAAGGATATTGTCACACACCTCCTGGACTATCTCGTTTCTGCCGGTGAAATGTTCGTCGAGCTTGGGCAAAGAAAACTCAGCCTGTTTCGAGGGTGGTTGTGTGTCTGAGCTGTGAACTGGCTTGTCATGCTTGGAGAAGGCGGCTGTTGTCGACGCTTGCGTCTCATCTGTCTTCTTGTGTGGTAGAGAGCCTGAAACACCAACAACAAGAGAAAATAAAGAACAGGGCAAAATCGATGTTGATCATCGTTGCATGGACCTCGGTGACACTGGCGTACGCACAGGAATGGCTGAATAAGGTCCAAATGAGCCAGACACTGTGTATTTGCGGTCTTTCCGACTTTTGGCAGTATGATGGTGTCACGTATGCTTAGCCTGTTCATATACATGTGTGTTTGGTGTGTTGCCAATGATAAATCTTGGAAACAGTTGCAAAACCATCTCTGAGAGGAGACGTCTAGATCCTTCTTACTGGATGGTTTTTCACTTCAAGGCAATCTTGCAATTTGTCACAATAGCAACAATAATAACAACAACAGCAACTTGGCAACCGTGAATAGCACCATCATCGCCACCGCTACCAGCAGCAGCAACAGCAACAACAAGAACAATCTCTTCTCCAACGCCTATTCCCCCTCGAGGGTAGGTGTGGGTGCAACTACCTCGGAATGAAAAAGGGGGCTTTCTGAGTAAAACGTTTGTTAAGCGGAACATTTATACCCTCAAAGCATGCACAAAACGAGTTGAATAACTGCACATCTTGGTTTGCAGTGATAACATAAAGTGTGCAGTAATTCACTGGTAATGGCAGTGGTGATTCCGAAGCAGTGCAGCGCTCCTGGACAATGGGGCAATGTGATGAAAATAGCAATGCAGTTGCACCGTCTAGGCGTCTACAATGGCCTGTCCCAGCACCTCATAATACATGTACTGTACTGTACTGTATTATTTGTACTGTACTGTATTATTACTAAAGAGGTGACTGTAAAAGCCTTATACGAGATATTATGAAGTGCCCAATCTAACGAGGAGAAATCTGTCGTGAAAATAGAACATGTCAAACAGAAATCGATACTGTTGCTAGTGCTAGCGAGCGTCGAGAATGAGTGAGCATCGTTACCAGTTTGGTACACGTAAAGCAGTCAGTTTTAGGAAATCGTTATACTTGCGGCTCGTTAGTCTTAATGGCTTTTACTAGGAGTAGGCCCCAGTGTAATATGCCGGCATTGTTTTGAGCATTTTCGGTACAGTCCGCGAACCCAGCACTTAGGGCTTGTGATGCAGCATTTTGGGGGAAACGGACCACTTGGCCGTTGTGTATCAAAATTGAGAGAAGAAAAACTTCCCAAACAAGAACGTCACTTCGGCATTCCGTGGGTTAGCTTCTTGTTGAGTAGTTTATGAATTGAAAATAATGGTTTTGACCAGGGAGTCGTAAAATACCGGTATTTTCTGACTCCCTGGTTTTGAGTCTTTTGACGGTGTGTGCTGAGGATTACAAAAAGTGGGCATTTTCCGAGCATTTTCGGCAAGGTTTGGGAGCATTTTCGGCAAGGTTTACGAGAATTTCCCAAAAGCATTTTCGGCAAAGTTTCGGGCATATTACACCGGGCCCTAACTAGGAGTATGCGATTATGTCATCATTTATTATTATTATTAGACACAATCTCATAGCATGTGACAAGCATAGCTAATGCAGGGACAGAATCCCCTGAGACAAGGGCGTTGAGCCAGCCACGGCAATAGTAAGCTAGGAAAACAAAGCAAATATGAATTAGAGCAGAAAATGAATGGAAAATTACAAAGAAAAACGATTAACGGAAGTGAGCACTATCAAAATTCGTGCATCACCCAGGTATTCGAGAATGTTCTTCGATGATAATTATTGCGTCTAGTTCAGTTGTGATAGTAGATCTTTAAACTGACCAATAGAAGAACAAGTTTTCAGACCGTATGGTAATGATAACCAATGAGAGTAGCCGGAAAACAAAGGGGACTAAGATACTGGGCTGACTTAACAAGAGGCAGGATGAGCGCGTTACGGGTTGAGCTTGTCGAAAACCAATTGTACTTCATCATGTGTGAAGGGGTTTTATGAAGAAATATTTTATGAACCAGTGTACAGAGATGGTGCTTATGACGAACGGAGAGAGGAGAAGAAAAGATTTGGCATGCTTCAGTATACTCATGAAGTGGTAAGCCGTCGTTGCAGTGGCAAGATAATGCAGAGCTCATTTGCCATTCGAAAACTACTTCAGAAGTAGCATTGCTTTTATGACTTGCCTTTCAATACAAAATTAATTTGCCATTCAAATCCCAGCATAAACGTTGCACTGTTTGTAACAAGACTTGCAGTATGCACTTGGATGCAGCGAATGGGATTTTCGGTCTTTGACCACTTTGGTGGGTCTGATCTACTCACCTCCCACCGCTTTAGGAGGTTCATTTGCGCCTTGATCCTTGGGGATGGTGGCGTTCCTACGGACGCGGAAAACTCAGAAGCCAAGTCTCACGCGAACTGTGATGTTTTCAGCATTCATTTGTTTTCACTCCATGCGCTCTTCAACATACTACATGGCATAGCTTTGACCTCGTTCGTGTAGCCTCTTCTAGCTACCTCTGTACTTCCAACACGAGTACAGACATGTACATATTATTATAATGCTCGCTGCATCTGCCAGGCAGGATGAAGACAGACTGAGTTCAGCCTGTGACAGCGTGTTACGTTAGACGGACTCGTTCATTCGGCTTACCTGTGTCCAAGCTAGGTGCCCTCCCAGGCCCAGTCGTTTTGCGGCGGATCGTGTCTTCAACGTGCTCGACGATGAACGGTTGGTGCTTGCCAACAGTGGCGAGGAACGCGTCCACATCACTCTCACTTTTCTTCAGCATGCATCGCACAAGTTGTTTACTGGCATCCCGTTCACCTTTGCCTTCTTCGTCAACAGCGTTTTCGTATTCTTTGAGTGTCAGAACTTCGTCTTCCAGAAGCTCCTCCAGCAGGATCGACGTGCTCAGGTTCTTTGCTAAGTATGCAATGTTCAGTCGGATGCGATCCGACATGGTGGACGTTCAGCGATCCACAGACAAAGCGAAGAAGAGGAAAAAACCTGACCGATCACAGCGGTCCTGGAGATCAGAAAACAAAACAAAATACTCGAGTGTACAATCATGTAGATCTACTAGCAAAACAAACAAAAACAAAATATGCGAGATCACAGTCAGCACAGTACAGGCGCTCAAGCTCTACCGCTAGACGCTACGGACCCTCCTGCTCCAGATCCGACATAGATCTACGTCCGCGGTCTCATCCACGGGGCGTGATCATGGTGATATCGGAAACAGACTCAGTAACCATGGTAACTGTAGATCTACAACTACAAGCAGGGAGCCGTTTACCATGTTTACCACGACTCCCTGCCTACACTACACGTAGTCTACAGTAGATCTACACAGTACAAGCCAGGGAGTCGTATAATCACGACTCCCTGTACATGGTGCAAGCCATAGACTGAAGTCAGTGAAGGCTACATGACCATGATGACGGTATCGCATACTGCGAGCATCACCGGCGTCGATGCACTCTGCTGTGTGGGCCGAGTCTTCTGCCTGCCTTCTTCCGTCCGAGAGCTCTGGCTTCTGATCTCCAGGACCGCGTACCGCTATGGTCGGTCAGATTTTTCCTGTTCTTCGCTTTGTCTATGGATCGCTGAACGTCCACCATGTCGGATCGCATCCGACTGAACATTGCATACTTAGCAAATAACCTGAGCACGTCGATCCTGCTGGAGGAGCTTCTGGAAGACGAAGTTCTGACGCTCGATGAATACAGAAAAGTTCTTGAAGAGAAAAGTAAAGGTGAACTGGAGGTTAGGAAACAACTTGTGCGATGCATGCTGGAGAAAAGTGAGAGCGATGTGGCCGCGTTCCTCGCCACTGTTGGCAAGCACCAACCGTTCATCGTCGAGCACGTTGAAGACACGATCCGCCGCAAAACGACTGGCCCGGGGAGGGCCGCTAGCGTGGACACGGACACAGGTAAGCCGAATGATGAATGAGTCCAATTAGCACGCATTGTGACCCCCAGCCCCGGCTCCGTCGATATCTAGCCAGGCATATGCAGGGCCAAGCATCCATATCCGTATCTATTGAAGTATTAGTATTCATTTTCACCAATGGTAGATTGTCCAACTGCAACATGCTCCGCTCTTCGAGAGAAATTCGAAGTCACAGATTCTAGATCAAATTATGTAGAATCTGTGACTTCGATTATCATGATTACTACTACGGAGCATCAGCAAATCGAATATTCGAATGAAATTCGAGAATCGTCACGAAAAGGACTCAATCAGTCGAAACTAGGGCTTTGTTCGACTGAAAAATGCCCGCAAACAGAAAATACTTTTCGAATACTTTTCGAATGCTCCGCGCGTGCTCTAGTACACGGCGCACTACGAGTACTCATTCTTGCGCATGTAGCTACTAGTTCTTACTAAAGTACTAGTCCGGACTTCTTGTCAATCTTGACGCTTTCCTCTCTCTCGAACTGTGAAAAGTTTTATCAAGTGTGCATTTTGTTTCATTTCAAGTATCCTGGAATCATGGCTTTGTCACCAACTACCAGCCCCGGTATGCCTCCTGCTCCCAGTACTGCAGTAGCCCTGCTGGCGTTGTCTCGGCATCTGCGTCTATGGTGAGTTCCCCGCAGGGAGAGGGCAACTCAAAGTGTGCCGAATATTTGAGGGTCGACCTTACCATGGATCTCATTCTGCTGAGGCAGTGTAGGGCCCACCCTCACCTATTCGTCCGCGGGTCTCCTGATATGCAAGGGATAGCGGAGGAGCTCGGCCGAGATCCGCCTTTTCAAGGGGTCTCCAAGAGAGATCCTATCGCCAATAGCCTGAATCGGATGAAGCATCCGCCGCTTCGCGTCATCCCCAAAGGCAATGAGAAACAACAGCAACTCCGTTCATTGCACATCTCAAAATCCCAGTCCTCAACTGCTCAAGCTAAAAAAAACTCGATTCGAAAATACTGGACTGCGCTACATGCTGAACCTCTTTTTCATTCGAATTTTCTCTCTGATTTTCTTTTTGCCATTCGAATAATCAAATCGAAAATTCGATTTGCTGATGCTCCGTACTACTAGTATTCGAATACAGATTCTACTCTTGTTCAAAGTGCAGAGCAAGAGAGGGTATGCGAATGAGGTCATGGATATGCCATGTACTGACTGTGCATGGAGTGGAAACCAGTGGCAGTTCTGTATTGAGAGGCAAGCAGTGCTATGTAGTGTAGAGATTATACGATTACATCAGCAGTTGAGATGCTTCGGCAAAGTCGCTGCACAGCACGGCACTAGCGACTCGCTCTGTATACATAGCGCCCATAAGCGCTTCCGCTGCTTACAAAGCTCCCATAAGCGGCTCCGGAATTCCGCTGGCTTGTCATTATGGCTTCTTTCGCATAACCTCTTGTGGGATTTGAATGGCACTGAATATGGAGTGGCAAACCATGCAGAGCCAGTTTTTTGTATGGGAAACCAAGCAACTAGCGCACCGCTGCAACGCGGCTTTACAGGCTTTTGTAGACGGTGGAACAGAGTTGCTATTTTCATCACATTGCCCCATTATCCAGGAGCGCTGCACTGCTTCGGAATCACAACTACCCTTACCAGTGAATTCGTGCACATTCTATTTTACTACTGAAAAACAAATTCGTAGCTCCTTGACTCGACTCATGCACTGCAGTGCTTTGAGTGTATAATATTTTCGCTTCGCGAAAGCCAGTCATACTCATAACGCTCCTTTGCATTCAGGTAGTCGTGCCCACACCCGCCCTCGAGAGGAATGGCTGCTGCTGCTGCTGCTGATGATGATGATGGTGGTGCTGATGGTCTGCTGTTGTCTGCTGCTCGTGTTGCTGTTGCTGACACTATTGCTGTTATTGTGACAAATTGCAAGGTTCCTTTGTCCAATAAGGTTCCTTTGTCCAATAAGAAGGATCTAGAGTTCTCCTCTATTATTTTTGTAATGTTTTTTTAGGATTTATCATTTCCAGCACACCAAACAAAAAGGTATAATTATGCTCGGGCGTAACACAAATAACACCATTACACTGCCAAAAGTCGGCCAGACCACAAATAAATAGTTGGCTCATTTGCTCTGCTGATCTTATTGAGCCATTCTTGTGCGTAGCCCAGTGTCACCAGGGTCCATGCAACGATGATCAACATCGATTTTGCCCTGTTCTCTATTTTCTCTTGTTGTTGGTGTTCAGGCTCTCCACCACACAAGAAGACAGACGAGACGCAAGCGGCGTCGACAACAGCCGCCTTCTCCAAGCATGACAAGCCAGTTCACAGCTCAGACACACAACCACCCTCGAAACAGGCTGAGTTTTCTTTGCCCGAGCTCGACCAACATTTCACCGGCAGAAATGAGATAGTCGGGGAGGTGTGTGACAATATTCTTGGACCGGCTGGCACACCAGAATCTTCTGTCCAGGTCCACAACCTTGTTGGACCACCTGGGTTTGGCAAGACGTCAGTGGCTATTGCTGTTGCCAGCGGGTGTCAGGACAAGGGCATGCAGGTGATGTTTGTAGACTTGCGCGGTGTCACATCTCCATCATTGGCGCAGGCGTTGCTTGACAGGGCCCTGGGTGACACTTACACGAATGGCAGGGGAAGTTATGGTGCAGTGCCAGGTGTCTTACAGTCGAAACAGAAGGATGTGAGAACGCTGGTGGTTCTGGACAATGCGGAGGACTGCATCAAGAGTGCCACGGAGCAAGAGTTTCAACTGCAGGATGTAGTGAATCAGATTATCACCCGCAGCAGGACTGTCAGTGTTCTACTGACAAGCAGGGTCCACCTGGAGCTTCATGCAGCCAAGTTCAAGCTTGAACAGTATAGTATCGGCTGCCTGGAGGTGAAACCAGCTCAAGATCTGCTTATGAGTCTGACGTTGCCGAGGAGCCGAACGGCGCGGGAAGCGGCTGAATTGGTTCGCCACTGCGGTTACGTCCCTTTAGCAATTCGAATCACAGCCAGTGCAATGTTGGGTGGTCGCCGAAATGCAAAGATGATGCTGAAGCTTTTGGTCAAGATTGGTGTGGACGTGTTCGACGATGAGAAATTGAAACCGAATGAACGCATCACACGCCTTCTGAAAATAGCACATGATGACCTGAGCAAAGAGGAGCAAGAATCTTTCCATGCTCTCTCACATTTCCCAGCCAAGTTTTCACCAGATGCAGCCGGCGCCATGATCAAGTTACGCAGAAGTAACAAGACAGCCGTCCATCACTACTGGTTTGATCCGCTGATCAGAATTTGCTTTCTTGAGTATTGTCCCGAGACAGAGCGCTACTCGATGCAGCCGTTCATTGCAGAGTTCGGCCGGAAGATGAGCACTGAGGATGAGAGTCGCACATATATACAACGGTTATGCCACATAAATATGGATTGTTGGCAGCGTGCGGTGTGTGCAGAGGCAGCCAAAGACGAGGAGACTGATCCAGGACAAGTTCTAATGTATTGTCTAATTGACCAACCAAACTTTGCATATACTCTGGAATGCATTGCCGATGGTGCTATTCTAGCGGATGAGCTAGTGGAGCAGTATGCTAACCTTCTCTCATCTCAAATCATGTGTTCGTATCTTTGGAAAAAAAGTGGCCCTTCTGTTCTGGCTATGTGTCTGACGGCCACATCATTTAAATTGCTCCCACCGCACACTCAACTCAGTTTGCTGTTCAATTACATCGCGTTCCTACCTGTAGATGGGAGTGCAGCACATCAACTGAATATCAACAGTGTCATGGCAGCAGCACAGCATCTGGTTGATACGTGCGAGAAAGATTTGTCATCTATCAGCATTCTTGAATATCACCTCTGTAATGTGGCAGTGTCTCTCCGCCGCACCGTGGTAGAACAAACAGGTGAAGCAGCTCGCAGCTTTGAAGGTGCAGCTCATGTGGCATATGTCTATGCTTCTAAGATGATGGATTCTTCTTCTTCTCCAGCCACTGAGACAACTGCTGCTCAGCTCACAATGCAATTGGCCAACTGTGTTGCTCTTGACAAGGCTCCGGATATGCTGGAATTGGAATGCATTGCAAAGCAGATTGGTCTGTCTTCCTCATCGCAATGGTATGAGTGGACAGACAACTGTGGAATGATCGAGATATTTACCTTCGCTATGCGGGCACTTCTCATCAGGGCTTCGTCCACTGAAGATTCTTCCATGTCAGTGTCACCAGTACTACTGGGTGCAATTGCAGCACAACGCCATATGCTGTCTGCACTTTTGTACGGCCAGTTTGATGAGGTGACTGATTTCACCTGTCTGCATATTTACTCACTCGTCCATGCTCTGGGTCATATAGTCTTCAGCAAGTTTGAAAAACCTTCTGAACTGTTTCTAAACCTGCTCATTATAAACTTAAATTTCCAATGGAAAGGTGGACTTACAACGCCAGCTAGCTATCTTGCCTCACCGCTATCGCCTTACAAGACCATAGACAACTACATGTCTTGGTTTCTTCAACACAACCAGAGCGGTTTGGAACTGAGCAGCATGGGCAAGCCATCAGTGGACATTGGCAATGATGAAGACCTGGGACACTGCATGTCCTGCCTGTGGCTGACGGAGCGTTACTCTCAGGACCTGGCAATGGTAAGGTACTGCTGTTCCTGCACCGTTTGCAGCATGTGTTCATATGCCTTGGCTCAGCCACCTTCACCCTCTAAAATGTGGAATGTGAATTGTGCTGTATACAGGGGCCTGTAGTTTGACTGGAGAACTGCACTCTGAAAATCAGAGAGTAGTACAATACGGTATTGTACTACTCCCTGCTGAAAATAAATAAGCCGTCTAGGAAGGTTGGCATGTAAAAAATGGAGAGAGAGAAAACATACCTCTACTACAAATTATTGTTGCAACCGTTAGAAATTGATACTACAACTAGTGGTACCTTCATGCAGGCGTTGGCATAGTGGGATATGCGACATATCAAAACCGTACGAAAAGGAATACTGCATAAGCAGAAATATTCGTCTGGAATTTAGTTTCGTCTTTTTCGTCCAAGGAGCTTTTGGACTAAATTAAATGTAGGACGAATATCGATTTGTCCAGCGTTTCTATACACTCTTATGATCTATGGACGAAATTTTCAACCGGACGAATTCCTTTTCTTTGGAGTTGGACGAAATTATTGACCGACGAAATTTTCTGCCTCTACAGGACTGCAGAATGGAGGTGTTATGAACCCTACCAGACACAACTATCACAAGTGCTAAATCAATCACAATGAGAAGGAGAGGTACACAGGAATAGTTGAGTTAGTTGAGTTGAGTTAGTTGAGTGTTTACACCTTGCGCCGGTATCTTCTCTATAAAATAGCATTATTCCCGTAGCTATGCAGAAGACGTTACTTCAGTAACGTCTGGCGCTAGCCAGGGTCCACACAGCTTTAATTTGGTATTTGTGTGTGTGTTTGTTTGTTTGTTTGTGTCACGCCTGGCGCTATCCGTATCTGACGGCAAAAAAGCATAGGATGTTATAAATTTTTCAATTCTCCTATTTTTTTTTCAGGCATATCCTGGGATTCGAACCCGCACTATCGCCCTACATGCAATCCCCCATACACTTCGCATTCATACCCATTCTTCCAAGTTGCTTCACGTTATTATCTTGCGTTTGAAAGCCCTATTTGAATATTGCGGGCAGCTGTATGTGGCCAGCTGTGTTTGATGGTACGGTACGGTACGGGAGACGGTGTCGTATTACCCTCGATCGTACCTGTCCCGTACCTATCCCCTACCGTACCGTGCCATCAAAGACGGCTGGCCACAATGCATATTCAAATTTACACCTTGCGCCGGTATCTTCTCTATAAAATAGCATTATTCCCGTAGCTATGCAGAAGACGTTACTTCAGTAACGTCTGGCGCTAGCCAGGGTCCACACAGCTTTAATTTGGTATTTGTGTGTGTGTTTGTTTGTTTGTTTGTTTGTGTCACGCCTGGCGCTATCCGTATCTGACGGCAAAAAAGCATAGGATGTTATAAATTTTTCAATTCTCCTATTTTTTTTTCAGGCATATCCTGGGATTCGAACCCGCACTATCGCCCTACATGCAATCCCCCATACACTTCGCATTCATACCCATTCTTCCAAGTTGCTTCACGTTATTATCTTGCGTTTGAAAGCCCTATTTGAATATTGCGGGCAGCTGTATGTGGCCAGCTGTGTTTGATGGTACGGTACGGTACGGGAGACGGTGTCGTATTACCCTCGATCGTACCTGTCCCGTACCTATCCCCTACCGTACCGTGCCATCAAAGACGGCTGGCCACAATGCATATTCAAATAGGGCTTTCAAATGCAAGATCACAATGTGAACCAACTTGGAAGAATTAGTATGTATGCGAAGTGTATCGGGGGATGCATGCAGGGTGCGCGATAGTGCGGGTTCGAATCCCAGGTTATGTCTTTAAAAAAAGCAATTTTTTAAAGAATTTATTTATTTATTTATTTATTTCTGCACCTCGTGGCATGTCAAGACAGCCAATTGAATTGAGGAGAGGGTGAGACCAACCACGGAAGAAGAGAAAAAAAGAAAATGAAGAGCACGTACACATATAACATCCCTATGCTTTTTTTTTGTCTAGGTCATCAAGGCAAAAAAGCATAGCGTAGGGCCCTGAGCTTCCAAGCTCTCTCGTTCAGCTAAACCCCTTCATTCAACAACTGCTTCTCCTCGGATGAGTTCCCCGTCATGTTTATGGAACGAAACAAGACTTGTCAGGAGTAATACTACTTGCTTTCGTGGAGTGTGGCTGGTGAACTGTTCGTGCTGTGATCTGCAAGCGTCGTGTGGTCTCGTCGTGTCAAATGAAAAACCTATTACTACTATTTGACGGACCTATTGAAGATGGCAACAAAGAATCATCACGCTATCATTGGATTACTTGTAGCTTTGCCCACTGATCCCAATGCTTTCAGGACGGCACCACTGTGACATTTATTGGTGGGTTCATGGGTTCATGGTGAAGCTTGGTGCTGTGCATAGTTCTGATGTGACGATTCTCATTTTCAATTTCTATTGCGGCATGTTGACTGGTGTGATCTGTTTTGTGGCGTTGTCGTTGTGTTTTGATGACCAGCTCTCTGACACTATTTGGAGTAAATATGTCACCATTCCAAACACAACAGAACCTCTTGTGGACTCTGGGCTCAAGCTACTGCGACAAGAATGCTTGGAAAGACTTCCAAAGCACTTTCAATATGGAATATCAGTGACAACAGCCGTATGCGCACTCCGCCCAGGCACAACCCGACGCGGTTGTAACTTAAACCTCTTGGCAATAGCGCTTGTTGCCCTGCATCATCAGTCCAAGAGAGGCCAAGTGAGCATTGATCACCACATTGCACTGCGAGAATGGTGTGAATGTGTCGCAGCATGTTTCGTCTGCTATGACCTGGACAACATCACGGCATGTCCTCGTTGTGGCATGTCCTACCTGTGTGCCAAGCATTGCCAGGCTGAGAAGTACTGGCGCGAGCACGGCCAGTACTGTGATATGCTGAGCGATCTGAGGACGAAACTAAGTGAATGGCAAGGTATGTGATGGAGCGAAACAATGTCAGAAACAGCAGTATACACATAGGTACCAGGGTTCACTACTAAATAAAAGTAATAATACTAGCATAGACACTTGAACTGGCTTAGCCATACATGTCCCCCCCCTTCTCTTCCCTCAATATTTCAGGTTTTGCCGCCGGTGCCTAGCTGTCATGTCGCTGCCACTGCCACTGCCACTACCAGTGGTCTTTGCAGTCTGTACATGGGCACTTGCACGGTGTACTTGAGCTACTGCATGTTGCAAATGCTTCATCATTTTATGGTGAACTGTATGCTACCGTTGATATAACCATGACGAGTGCAATCTGTGTCATGGTGAACTGAGTACAAACTGTCTTGTACCATTATATGATGCTCTCCCATCTTGAATGATAGCAATGGTTTGAGCATCTACCCGGTGACCCCAACCCCAAGCTCTGCCTTGTCTGACGCTTTCTGCGCAAGACGGTTTGATCCCTCCTATCATACAGGCTCTGTCTCTGAGATCCTGGATCCGCCACTGCATTGTGGAACGTCCGTACTTTCACTATAAGTATTCATCCATGACCAGTGCTTGTACACATGGTGTGGTCGGCTACCCATGGATGATACAAGTATGTATATTGTTCTGTTCTGCTGTGTCGGTGCTACAGAAGCCGCGAGGCTGAGCAGTGAAGATTGAAGAACCATGTGTGCTCACC